TCAGGGCTTCTATGCTTAGTCTTGGAATTTCAGACTCGGGACGTGCACAGCGCACAGCACCATTCTAGGTACTCCATAGACGAATATAACAATCCCGTGCTCTTTCCTTTGCACGCGCTAAGGCGCGCTGTGATTAACAGGCGGCTCGGCGATGCAATCACTTGATTTCGGCCAGTGGAGCATTGCAAATTAGAGTGCTAGCGGCACGTTTGCGATGCAGAAATTCACACTCACATCAATGAATACATCTTCGAAGCATCCCGCAAGAAACGCAACGTCGAATTGGAAACGACATTGGACGTCCCAAAACCCAGCTTATCGCCCCACAAACCCAACGGGTTTAACGACACAAATCAACATGCGAATTTTGCAAACTAGGTTATCACTGAGTTATAACTCCGCCTAATACTTGCTGACTTTCAATTCCTTTAGGTCGGAGAAGAGGACTACAGTTGGAGCTGCTGCAGGTGCGGCGGTTGGCGGGCCAACATCGAGAAAAGCTGTGGCGGGGGAAGAGGTCTAGATGCGGGCCCGAGCAAGACTGCGCCCAGTTTTGAGCTGCTGCGCAGCGAGGGTCATGGAGTGTCCCGCCGCAAGCTCCAGGTCATCGAGAGGTGCTGCCGCAAGAGACGTCTCAACGCCATCAGCGAGGGCGCCGATCTGATCATGCGCTCGTTGGAGGGTGAGGCGGCAGAGGCAACGGAAGACATCGACCTGGACTTGCTAGAGACAGTAGATGCGTTCCAGCCAACCATCAAGGTGCTGGACGAGTACTACAATTACGATAATCAGACCGAGCTGCCGGCCAGACCGGACACCTTCTTCAGCAAGTTCGAACCGCAGGAGAAAGCGACGCTGAAGCTGCATTGCTCACGCCACCAGCGAGAGTTGCGCCAGCTGAAAGAGGTCGGAATGGAGATTCCTGATATGTTGGCAGGCTGGCGCTTCCTCAATCGAGCCACGATGCCACCGAACGGAGCCGCCCAGGTGCGCAGCCAGTGCGGAGACGGTCTCAGTTGGCGGAAGATTCGCAAGGTGCTGCTCGATACGTACAGAGCGGAAGCTACGCCTGACAAGCGCGATGCGAAGAGGACCGAGCGGATGCTCGCAGGAAGCAGCGCCACCGCGGACGCGAACTACACGAACGACTACGAGTGCGAGAGATGTCTCGCCTACGAGTGCGAGAGATGTCGTGCCTTGGCGAGGGCGGCTTCTTTGAGGAGGAGGACGACTACGATCACTAATATAAGGATGGCGACGGCTACGGGCGCGAGCAGGGCGGCGCCGACGGGGCTGAGGACGTGCCGCCAGAGATCGAGGAAGCGCAGGTTGCCTGCGTCGAGACGTGCGTCAGCTGCATTGAGGGCAAGAAGCGCGTGGCCGAGATCGCCATGCCCCGAGGCTTTTGCCGCCCTGGCCCTTGGCAAAAATTTCACGCGCGAGCCGCGGTCGACGCCCAAGGGCATCGGCAGGGGCAAGGGCAGCGGGAGAGGCAAAGGCAAAGGCAATGGCAAGGGGCCGCCGCGCATCCCTCCTCGTGGAGGCCAAGCGTTTCCGCGTTCGCCTACATCGGCCCCGCCGCCGACGCCTCCGAGGTCGAGCACGTCGGGATCGACTCAGCAGCGCGGTCTCCGATTCAAGCGATTTCGAGCTGGAGGTGTCGTGAACAGACGCGGGGAGGCGCGCGTGGTTGAGGACGCGGACGGCACTGCGGACACTAAGGATCTCGAGTTCGCCAATGCCATCGAGGAGGTGAACTTGGTCGCGGTCGGCAAGGGCATCGGCGATGGAGGAGCTACCCGACCCGCCATGGGCGATCAGAAGTGGCGACGGCAGGAGGAGCACTTGCGAGCCAAGCAGCTCCACCTGGCGCCTGGGTGGACACCGCTCCTCATCGCGAGGCCGCGCCTGGAAGAGTGGGGGCTGGTCCAGGATTATCGCGGGGGCAAGTCCACGCTGAAGTGCCGCCCCGAAAAAAGGCTGGGTGACCTCCGAGCGCGACGAGAAGGGGCACTTCATTATCGACTTGTTAGGCTGTGCCGGCAACGCACCCGACGACGTCGCGAACGTGGGCATCCCGACGGGGGGCGAGGGCAGCAACGCCAGCGACGACTCGTCCGATCGCGCTTCGAGCAGTTCGGGACCTGAAGACGACGCCACGGACCCGGACATCGGAGACGCCGACGCGCGCTACCTGGAGACGTACGCGGCGTTCCTGGTCCCAGGCGAGACGGGCGAGATCACGGTCGTAGACGAGTCCGAGGATCCAGGGGGCGGCGCCAGCAAGGGCCCGAACGGCACGCCGCCGGACGTCTACTCCGACTTGCTCCTCGCAGCGGAGAACGCCGCAGACGGGATGCGCTCGCTACTGCAGGGCCCTGGTCCGAGAGTCGTCTGGGAGGTTTTCGTGGACCTGGGCCGGCTCACCGCCGAGTTGCTGAACTACCCGATGGTCGAGGTGGTGCATTTCAAGCAGAGGGCTGGGGCTTCTCGAAGCCGCGCATCAGTCGGCAGTTTCTGGAGGCCATCGACAGGGGGATGCCAGGCGACATCTTCTTCGCTCCGCCGTGTACCAAGTGGTGCTCGTGGCAGCGCGTGAACACGCCCCTCGTCGGAGGAGCGCGGGGAAGCGATCGCCGAGGCGAGGGGGCGCGAGGAAGCTGCGAAACAGGCTTTCGACAAGCAGACCGCCGCTGGACGCCATGCATATGTGGAAGGACCCTTGAGCGGACTTCATTGGCAGACGAAGACGTGGCACAAGCTCAAAGGTGACTTCTGCAGCTTGGATCAGTGTCGACTTGGGGCCGAGTATGAGATCGACGGAGTGACCAAGCCGTGCCAGAGGCAGACAAGACTACAGTCAACCAACCACGAGTTCATCAGAAACATGAACATGGGATGCAAGTGCGAGACGGGGCATGTGGGGCTTCGTGCGAAGCTAGCGTCTCAAGCCCAAAACTATCCAGTAAAGATGGCGAAGCGCGTGGCCTACCTCATCGCGCATCAGGGGCGCGAGGAAGACATTGAGGGGGTCGACGAGATCCACGCCACAGAAGTCGGACCCCACTTCGACTTGGGCGAGTACAACGACGCCATGCGGGGGCTCACGAAGCGCTATGGCGTATCCACCGTGCGAGCCGTCGAGCGCGCATCAGCCTGGGGCACCCTTCCAGCGCCGCGCTAGCCACCGCCATGCAGAACGCGAAGGCCCCAGCTGAGAGGACCCAGTGCGCTCGGGCATTCCAGTGCGAGCTTTGCATGGGGCGCCAGAGGCCACGTTCAGTCCGTGTAGCGGTTCTGCCCAAAGCCAAGCGCTTCAACCAGGTGATCTGAACGGATGTATACTACGTCAGGTGGAAGAACAAGGAGCGACAAGTCTTAGCTATCATAGGCGAGTTTTCAAGGTACGAGGTTGACTACCCGATCAGAAAGGAGACGTTCAGGCGCGAAGCGGAGCTGTGGGGCATGTTGTGGATCAACTGGGCAGGAAAACCCGACTGCATGCGCAGGGGCGCTGGAGGATCGCGCACGGCAGCCAAGATGCATAAGTGGTTGAGCGAGCGCAACATTGAGTTCGACATCACCCCCAAGGGAGCTGAGCACAAGCTTGGCCTGATGGAGCGCAATCATGCCGTCCGTCGAGAACAGTTGGCCAAGTATCGCATGCAGTTCCCCGACGACTCGCTGAAGACGGGCTTGAGGATGACGGCCAGCCAACGGAACGCGCTGAGGAAAGTCCGCGGTTTCTTTCCGGCAATGCTAGCGTTGGGCGCGCAACCCAAGATGCCTAGAGCGTTGAGCGACGGTGACTTCGGCTTAGCCGAGCTGTCCGCGTTGACCGACCCGAAGAGCGATGTGCACGATATCATGGTGCGTCGGATGGCCGCGGGCACTGCCTTCATCGAAGCGAACTGCCCCCGCGCTGCGCGAGCCGCCTTGCTCGCGCGCGGCGGCCCCGCGCGCGGGGGCTGCGAGATCGGCGAGTGGGTGTGCTACTGGAGGCCAGAAGGACTGGGCGCGGGAAAAGTGACGCTGGCGCGGGCGAGGTGCTACGTGCAGGCGTGGTTTGGGCGACGCACGGGCGCGCCATTTACAGATGCAGCTTGGAGCAGCTACGACTTGAGATGGCGTCGGAGACGAGGGGGCGAGAGGCAAGGCCTGGCGGCCCGCGCTGCCCGCTCAGCACCATGAAGAAACTGATGAAGGCGCTCAAGCAGACCAGAGGGGCGTTCAATTTCCAGGGCCTGCGAGAGAAGGGCGACAAGCCAGAGTTCGACCAGACTGTGGACGACATGGGCCAGCACCCAACAGCCGCCGCTCGCGCGGAGGCGGATCAGGGGGCTGGACAACCAGAGGACGCCGCGCCAGTCGAATCCTGCCGCGGAGCAGGAGTCGCCCGACAGGTTCATGCCCGACTCGTCGGAGGAGCCACCGTCAGCACCTGTTGACGCTCGCGCTGAAGAACTAGCTGCGGCCGCGCCAGCGAGCGAGCCGACCGGGGCTTGCATCGAGCAGTTGGCCAACCGCAGCGTGGAGGCGAACGACCGTTTGGGCGGGCGGCCGAATAAGAAGGCGCGACTCACCTGGAAGACGCTAGAGGCCGAGGCCGAGAACGCGGAGTTCATGGAGGACGAAGATGATGAAGAGTTGCTCTTGCTGGAAGAGTCGGCCGAGACCGTGTCTCTGGTCGCGTGCGAGCGGAAAGGCCCCTACCATCGTGGAGGCCAGGCTCTCGCCCGAGGAAAAGAAGCAGATCCGGGAGGCGAGGTGGGAAGCCCTTGAGGTCTTTAATAAGAGCGAGGGGTGGGGGCCCATCGGCGAGTCCGAGGTCGACCCAGCCGCCTGCTGCCCGCTGCGGTCCTTGCTGATGTGGAAGCTGAAGGATGGCAAGCAAGTGGCCAACGCGAGAGTTCTGTGCCAGGGCTTCAAGCGTCGTGACGTGATCGATGGGCAGCTAGACAGCTAGACAAGGAGGCGCCGACCCCGAGCCGCCTCGGCCCATGCACCATCATGCTGTGGGCACAGTGCGTAAGTGGAAGTTGTTTTCCGCCGACGTGAAGTCCGCGTTTGTTCAAGCTGACAACGCGGAGTCTCGCGGGTTGAAGCTGCGCGCCGCGCCCACCAAGGAGATGCGGGAGATGCTGCTACAGCAAATCGGACTGGAACCTGGACAGTTGTTGAAGTTGATCAAGCCTTCTTTCGGAGACCCGGGGTCGCCCAAGCTGTGGCACTACCGCTCCGGTGAAGTCACCAAGGAGGTCGGGTTCCAGGACCATTGGCTCGAGGACTGCCTGTTACTCAGCTTGATGATCGCGTAGGTCGGTGACGACCCATTCGACATCTGCGCGATCGACGGCCAGAACTACGCGGTGGACGGCCTGATCGGGAAGCACGTGGGCGACTTCTTGGGATGCGGAGAGAACCTGAAAACGGAGGGCGATATGCACGCGCCCGTGGACGACCCCGAGTCATTCAAGGCCAGGCTCGCTCTACTCAACCAGATTCAATTTCGGCAAGTGGGGCTTCGGGTTTTAGCTGACGTTTACGGGTGGCGAGCTGGATCAGAACGTCAATGCCTACGCGACCGCGCTGAGGTTCGAGAAGTACTTGCACGCGGTCAAACCGATCACTATCGACAAGGTGCGGCGCGCGAGCTCCGCGAGTCCATTGGCGCCGAAGGAGCTGACGAGTTTCAGGACGCTGAGTGGGCAGTTGCAGTGGCCAGCCGCGCAGGGCATCATCATTGCAGCCGCCGTCGTGTCGTTTTGGGCTGCTGCGACGGGCAACGCCACCGCGCAGGACATGATCGACGCGAACAAGGATCTGCGATTCCTGAAGGCCAATGCGGACGTCGGGCTGCGCTTCGGTTTCGACAAGCCATGGAGCGCTATGAGGACTGGAGCTTGCTCGGATGCTAGCTGCGCGAGCCGACCTGGCGGGGGCTCACAGGGCGGTTGCCGGATCTTCATCGGGCCTGCCGAAGAGCTTGAGGCGGGCACACTTGCGCCGATCGTGGCGAGGGAGTGGGATCCGAAGAAGTTGCGACGCCTGTGCAGGAGTTCGTTGTCAGCCGAGGTTCAGGCCGCCGCGCTGGGCGTGGACTCGCTCATGCGGGTGAAGATCTACGTGGCGCTCAGCCAGGCGAATGGCGGCCGTGGCGCATTTCGGCCAGTCCCCTTTCATCGCGGACGCCAAGTGTATCCATGGCGCCTCGCGGTCAGTTACCGCGGGATTGGGCGTCGCCGAGAAGCGTGCCGCCGGCGGGGTCAGGGTCGTGAGCGAACGGATGAAGGAAATCGACGCGGTCTGGAGGTGGGTCAACATGCAGCAGCAGCTGGCCGATGGGCATAATTACCATGCTCAGCAGTCGTCAGACGCTAGCGGACATACTACGACGCGGCGCGCGCGCTGCAGCACGACCCGAACTTCGCGGCGGGGAGGAAGCTCAGCAAGATGCAGGTGGAGCTGCGCGGGCAAGAGCTGGAGCAAGCTGGCGACGAGCTTGCGGGCAACACCGAGACTACGGAACAACCGAAGCAGAGAGCGCGACGTGGGCACTACGGGGCAAGCGGGGGGAGGCTGGCAGCTACTCTAGCTGCAGGCGCCGCCTCAGGGAGCCAGGGGCGCAACGCGCGCACCCCGATGGATCTTGGCGGTGGCGCGTGGGACCTCTGGAATTTTCTCGTGTTCGTGCTCGTGCTATCGCTGGGCATCGGGCTGGCCATCGGCCACTGCATGGGGAGAAAGGTTGGCGCGACGCTGGCCCAGCAGAAGATGGAGAGCCCCATGGACGCGGCGCGGAGACAAAAAAGGCACGGACAGTGCCTCACCGAAGACGGAAACGAGCAGTGGGACGACGAAAACGACTACGAGGTCAACCATCTCCGGAGATGTACCGACGCGTGGACCGACAGTGACGTCCGTGAACCGCTGGCGCCCAGTTACGACGGCCAAGCAGCCCGATGTATACCACTTGACGAGCACGTGCGCTGGGTTGCGGGGCGCGAAGAGCGCGATGCGGTACGATATTTCCAGGTTCTGCAACGGGGATGGGCCGCCCATGAGCAGCAAGTGAGGTTCCCTGCAGGTTGTAGTGTCGAGGCGAGAGGTCGGGCCTCGCTTCGGCAGTAAGTTATGGGATTGCGATTTTGTGCTGTGGAGCGTTTACCCCACGTGCGGTTTTGTGAGCTAGATTTGCCAGGTCAAGTTTGTTCCTAGGGCGATCGCCCGTAGGATTGACGCTTTCCGTGCAGAGTTTCTTTCGTCTTAGGTTTGCTCGCAGGGCCCTTCTCGGTTTCGAGAGCTTTTCCTGTTTATGTTGACGTTTCCGGGTGGCTTACCTTGGAACCTCCGATATCACGGTTCTAATTCCGTGGTTTTTGCGAAGTAGTAAGTGCTAACTCCTTTTTTTATTCCGCCCGTGTCAACAGGAACCCTTTCCTGTTGATTTTCGTTGTCATTTTATGTGTCTTTTAGCACAGTGATTTGCAGCAGTATAGCAAGCAGTGCGTTTCATTGTTGTTGAACCGCCGCTGTGTCTTGATCGAGGGGCCCCTGAGTCACACAAGCGGTTGCGTCTTTCATTCTTCGTCACGACGAGATTAGTCACAGAGAGCCCGATACACTACAGACAGTATTTCTCCAAAGAGCCCGTGAAGGACTTAGTGTGTTTTCGTCGGTTGATAGAGCATAAGCTCGCCGAGTGCTCCATCACCAGCCTCGTGTCGTAGCGCTGAGGCCCCAGGCGTTACCGCATCGGCTCCTGCCATCACTGCCCCGCGCGGCGCCACCGCCGACGCCGCTCCCGGCCAGCAGCTCGCCCTCCCCGCTCGTGTTCCTGCCGTGAGACCGCCCCGCTTGCTTGGCTTCCTGGGCGTCTCGACGCCGCTCCCGAGGCCTGCCGAGTCATCGCCACCTCGTGCTGTCAATACTGCGAGTAATGCTCCACTTCGCCGCCCTGCATCATTTTACCAGTTGCACGGTACACCACATTCTCATGTAATGCTTTGTCATCCTTCTCCTCAGCCTCGTGCTCATGATCCTCCTCCTCCTCCGCCTCCTCCGCCTCCTCCTCCTCTTCCTTCGTCGGGGCAGCCCCAGCCTGGCCCTCCGAGTAGCTCTACCGTCAGGCGGCCCATCTATCTCCATTTATGTCCACGTCCCCGCCCCTGTCCCCATCCCTGTCCCCATCTCTTTTCCCCTTGTCTCTGTCGCTTTCTCTTCCGCTGTCTCTCTCTCTCTCTCTCTCTGTCTCTCTTTTTTGTTGCTCTCTCTCTCTCTCTCTCTCTCTTTCTCTATCAATCTCTTTCCATATTTATATCAGTCTATGCCTCTCCTTTGCCTCTTCCCCATTACCCTTCGCCACCCCCCTACTCTCCGCCCCCGCCCTAGCGTGTGAAGACTGATTTTCTGAGGAATGAGACCAGCAGGGCCGAGGCTCGTATCGCAGAGGGGCGTGTCAGGAGATGCGCTACGGGGGGCGGCCGCAGAGAGGCTTTTCGATCGCCCTCGGCTGGATCGCGTCGCAACAGGGGATAGTATCGAGGAAGATTTTAATATTTTCTCCTCCCCCTCCTCTCTCTTCGCCCAACCCGCTCTGATCCGCTTTCGTCTGTCTGGCCCTTTCTCTTGCATCTCGGCTTGGCCAAAGCTTTTTCCACGGTCCCCCTTGGCTTCCTCTCGCTTTGGGCAGGAGGGTTCGAGACTAGAGCCGCGTGCGATCGTGGGCCTGTTACTGACTGGGCGGCTGAGGTCGCGCGCAGGTCACATCCCCAAGGCCAGAACCTTTTTCCGGCGCCTCCTTCGGCGGTTGGACGGGGTCGCCCATCGTACGGTGGAGGGCCAGAGCGTTCGTGGGGGGCCAGAGGGTCGCAGGTGGAAGCACGGGAGAGCGCCTGGCCTGGTGGCCTTGCGTGGTTTGGGCGGACCTCCCGGCGCTGGTGAAGCAGCTCCGCGACAGCTTCATTGTGGTCGCGCCCTCGGGGGCCTGGAGGGGCGCAGCCACGCCTGGTGGCGTGGGGAGGTTTTGGCAAGAGATCACAGGAGGCCTCGTGAATTCCGAAGAACACATGTTAGCCAGCGTCGACCCCACACAGAAAGTTATTGCACTGTGGGTGTGAAGGTATGTGGTCAGGCTATGTAGTGTAAGCTACGTTGTGATATCTACGTGGTGCAAGCTACGTGGTGTAGGCTGTGTGGTCCAATATATGTGGTGGAAGCTATGCGGTGCTATCAACGTTGTGCAAGCTATGTGGTGTCAACCATGTGCTGTAAGTTTTGTTTCACAGTGACCACACACCCCACCTCGATGAGAGAGGGCGCACCTGTTGGCGGGCAACCCGTTCGAGCAGATGAGGGAGAAGGTTGCGCGCACGGGACCTGGTCCTGCCTCGCCTTGTACACCTCTACTGGCAGACAGTCGCTACCAGCGTATGGAAGATGGCGGGGAGGAGGATGAGGAGGAAATGATCCCGTCGCCGTACGTGCGGCCGCATTTGGGGGAGGTACGAAAGGAGGGGAACTCGCAGGAGGAGCAGGTCACGATGCTCGGCATAGCGGCGCTACTCCCGCAGGAGCTGACTCCAGTCACAGCCTCGGTGGAAGAGTTGCGCCTGGGGTTCAGCGCTTTGGACACCCGCCTCAACGATTTCATGGCAGTGTTGAACAAGCGCCTGCAGTCTGTGGAAAGCAGGCTGGACGTGTCAGAGGTCAGGATCGAGAAGCTGGAAAACATGCTCAAGAATCTCGAGTCCTCTCGGCCGGCCGGCGCTGCTCCACCTCAAGGCGCCGTTCAGCATACAGCCACGGACAAGAGGCACATCACGGCCGTGATAGGCAACCTGGACGCGTTGAACAGCATGGCGGAGGCGACCACATGGTTGAAGGACAAGCTGATGGGATTGAACGGTCCGGCCCCGAACAACACGTACTCCAAGGGGGACTTCAAGGGCATCCTCTTCGCGGGGTTCCACGGGACCGCGGAGAGAGACACCGCTGTGGACCTCCTCCGTGCGGCGGGTCTCCAGCCAGGTGGAGGGAAAGGTTTGTGGGCGACGGCTGATCGTCCTGCCCCAGAGCGTGCTGCCCGGAACTTCTGTTTCGGCTTGAAGCGGTTGTTCAAAAACGAATGGCGGATCAACTACCACGTGAAGATCTCCGATGAGGTTCCGTACCTGCTCACAGTTGGCGGCGAGAAGGCGGTGACGGTCCACGTCGACGACAACGCCGTGCGATACGAGTGGCATGGCGACTGGAAGACTTGGGAGGAGCTGCGCAACAACCAGGCCGTGCAAGACCTCATACAGAAGAACACGGACATGCTGTCCCGAGCTGGTCAGGGCATGAGGGGCTCGAAGGGGCAGAAGGGCGGTGCCAAAGGGCAGTAGGAAACACAGCACATGAACACAGTTTCACCCACAGTTTCACCCAGAGCATCTGTAGTTCTACACACTGCAAGCTCAAGTTTTGGTACCATCTCTACATCTTGCACAACAAGGTCGTATGAAGCAGAACTTTTTCGAGGCGGCCGGCTTGCCGTCTCTGGCCGGGAATTCAAAGTTGGGACTTGGAATGTGGAAGGGCTTACAGAGACAAAGGTTGTAGAGCTCCAGCGGCACATGCAGCAGGAGGACATCAGCATTCTCTGCATTCAGGAAACGCACAAGGGCAACTCCGAGTATGAGATCGCAGACGGGGGCTTCCTCCTTATCCTGTCTGGCACGGCAGAAGACGAACCGGAAGCAACGGCAGGAGTTGGATTCCTGATCTCTCCGCTGGCACGTCGCAGCGTTATTGGTTTCAGACAGGCCTCTTCGAGAATGGCGCCCCTCAAACTGCGGGTCCGCGGGGGCAAAATCGTCATCTGCAGCGCCTACGCCCCGCACAGTGGAAAGCCATTCGTCGACCGGCAGGCTTTCTTCTCGGACTTGGCCGGCTTCCTCGGCAGCCACTCCGCCCACGGACCGGTGCTGCTATTTGGTGATTTTAATGCCAGAATACACAGGCGCTCCCCCGGAGAAGAGGACGTGCTGGGGCCGTTCATTTTCGGGAACCCGCAAGCGCAGCACAACCCGGAATCAAACAGAACGCTCCTGCTCGAACTTTGCACCTCTCGTAAACTCATTGTCGGCAACGCAGTTTTCGACGAGCCTCCGGAGCGCCAGATTACTTACTATGATATAGGACACTCGCCGGCGGACCCCCCAATCCACCAGAACTACGGACAGCTGGACTTGGCGATCGTGTCCATGGAGTGGCTCGGGTGCTTGAAGCGTGTGCAAAGCGTCAAACACAGGGCGATCGCGTCGCATCATTTTCTCGCGGCTGCATCCCTGGACGTGGACGTCCCGCGCGAAGACAGCGGCCCCCGCGAGCCTCGACGACAGCTTGGCGCGCTTCGGGACGAAATGGTGGCGGGCACATTCTCCGATGCTTTCTGTAACCACATGAGCTCAAGTGGGTGCGAGCACGGGGGCGCGAGCGTCCAGCAGCTCGCATCGAGCATGACAGATGCCTTTCGTTGTGCTGCCCAAGACGCTCTCCCGACTCTAGCGAGGAGACCGCGGCGACCATGGATCTCTGACAAGACACGCAGGAAGAGCGGCGCTTGCACCGAGCTGTCAGAGATTCCGTCCGGGCGGACCGTTCGGATTGGTTAGAGAGCCAACTCGCCTCTGGAGACTGGGCGCCGATACGCACCCTGAGAAAAGGAGCGCAAGCCCAGCTGGGCCGATTAGCCGACATGGAAGGTCGTCTTGTTGACTCCGACCAGCGTGCCGACACAGTGGCAGAGTACCTTTGCAAAGTCCAATGGGCAGTGCGGCCGACATGCGCAGCGCCGGACGGGGACCCCCTTGGCGACGAGCTTGCCGTGCCATGTGGCCCAATCACCGAAGACGAAGTCGTCGACGCTGCTGCGCGTATGAAGCAAGGCAAGGCATCTGGCAAAGACGATATCCCGCCAGAGTTTTGGAAGACAATCTGCCGAGCTGGGACGCCTGCCTGCAGATGGGCTGTCGAGCTGTGCAATAAGTGCTGGAGCGACGCAAAAGTTCCAGCAGAGTGGCACGAGGCGCCGGTCGCAACGCTATTCAAGAAGGGAGACGTGGCCCAGTGTGAAAACTACAGGCCCATCTCCTTGACGGCCGTGGGCTACCGAGTTTTCGCTGCAGTTTTGCTTGGCCGGCTGAAAGCGGGCGGGGCCGAGAGCCGAATTTGGCGAACTCAGTTCGGCTTCAAGTCCAAGCATGGAACAGCGGGCGCCATTTTTCTGGCACGGCGGATTCTTGAAAGAACTTGGACCGAGAAGGGCGGGCAGGTCGTCCTGCTGGCTCTCGACTGGGCGAAAGCCTTCGACAGCGTCTGCCCGGAGTCTCTAGCACTAGCTCTTGTTAGATTTGGCGTGCCCGCGAAGTTCGTGGAGGTGGTGCGGGCGATCTACCGGGAGCGAAGTTTCTGTGTACGGGATGCCGGCTCGACCTCGGCGCCGAGGGCGCAGGAATTCGGCATCAGCCAGGGATGCCCGCTGTCGCCCTTCCTATTCGCAATCGTGATGACCGTGTTGTTGCGAGACGCGAAGGAGGAGGCCGGGCCACTGCTGGACCCCTCCCAGGCGGTGCATGAGTTGGTCTACGCCGACGACACACTGCTTGTGTCTGGCGAGTCCGATACAGCGACGGCATACATGCGCAGCATCGAGAAAGCCGGATCGCAGTACGGGCTACAGTTCAATTGGCGCAAGCTGGAAGTTCTAGCCGTTGGCTGTAATGCACATATTCCGAGGCCAGACGGTTCCTGGGTGCCGCAGAAAGCGAGCATTCAATATCTGGGCAGCTTGATTTCGAGCGACGGGAAGATCGGCCCTGAACTCTCCCGCCGGCTTGGTGCCGCGCGGGCGGAATTCGACAAGTTGAAGCGAGTGTGGGGCCATTCCACGCTGACGCAGTCAAGGAAGCTGGAGGTGTTCAACGCTTGCATTCTCAGTAAACTGTTGTATTGTCTGCACGCGGCCTTCCTGAACCAGGCGGAGACGAAGAAGCTCGACGCATTCCACGTGAGATGCTTGAGGCAAATACTTCGCATACCTCACTCGTACATTAGCCGCGTAACAAATTCAAGTGTGTTGGAGCAAGCAGGTGCTGCCCCACTGAGCAATACTTTGCTGAATCGTCAGCTGCTGCTCATGGGGCATATTGCCCGGAAGCCAGCTGATGACCCGGTCAGGTGCCTGGTCCTACGCCCTTTGTCATGCCAGCTTATAGCACATAACTTCAAGCGAAAACGGGGGCGCCCCCGGAAAACTTGGATCGAAACTGTTTTTGCGCACGCTGTCCGGGCCGCGGGGGGTGAGGAGGCCCTGCCGCTGCTCTGGCAAGATAGCGTAATTTCTGCCGCAGCCTGGCGCGCAACCGTGAAGCGGTATTGCGACGCATTGTAAGGCCACGGCATTTGTGTTCATGTGTTTTGCACTCAGCTTTGTCTCTCTCTCTCTCTCTCTCTCTGCGGGAGCCCGCACATTCAGCCCTTAATACTACAAGTAATCGTAGTGGTGGTCGTGGTTGTGGTGGCGGTGGTGGTCGTCGCAGTAGTGGTAGTAGTAGTCGTAGTAGTCGTAGTAGTAGTGGTAGTAGTAGTCGTAGAAAAAGAAGAAGTAGTAGTGGGAGTAGTAGTAGTAGTAGTAGTAGTAGTAGTAGTAGTAGTTGTAGCAACAGTGGTAGTTGTCGCAGTAGTAGTAGCAGTAGTAGTAGCAGTAGTAGTAGTAGTAGTAGTAGTAGTAGTAGTAGTAGTAACAGTAGTAGTAGTAGTAGTAGTAGTAGTAGTAGTAGTAGTAGTAGTAACAGTAGTAGTAGGGGTAGTCGTAGTAGTAGTAGTAGTAGTAGTAGTAGTAGTAGCAGTAGGAGTAGTAGTATTAGTAGTAGTAGTAGTAGTAGTAGTAGCAGTAGTAGTAGTAGTAGTAGAAGTAGCTGTAGCA